GTATTTTTCATACGAGCGATATTGAGGAAGGAGAATTGAAACTAGGATTTAGAATCTAGGATGCACGAGTACATGCCCTTAATCTAATCTACAGTAGTGGGTAGGGAGATTCAAACTAAAACGCAAAAGGGTGGGCTTACGGCATTGACTAACTAACCTAACCCATGTTAATAGTCAAATACTAAATAGTAAATAGTATTCCTAAAAAAAAAAACTAAAATACTAAATAGTAAAGTTAATAATTAAATTATTTATAGGATCCTTGCCCTTCATATACGGTATAGTCTGTTGTTACTATTTTTGTGTACTCTCTGTTTTTTTCTATTGGCTTGACTCATGAGAAAAGTAGCAGCAGAGACTAATCATATTCAGCCATGGACCCCACGTGCGGGTGCGTCGCTGGACAGAAATCAAGCTCGGCGGTCGCTTTCAATCCCGCCCGCTCACCGCGTAGGCCCCACATAATTCCTGGTCCAGATTATCTCCCGGGCAGCACATTCCACTGCCCGAAACAGTCACTGAATCCAACGGCTCAGATCTCTTCACCCCTACAGATTCTAGTCGACACTTAACCGATTAAAAGCCTCCGAAAAAATAATAAATAAATAAATAAATAAAAAAGAAGGATGTGTATGGTTGAAAATAGGCATGCAGTTCAGGTAATAATATGGTGATAGAGGAATTCTAATTTCCGTCAGACGCCATTTCAAATCCTGCAGAGAAAGAATTTTACTAAATTTAGTAGGAACAAGAAACGCAGCCAGCCAAAAGAGGTAACTTTCCAAATTCTAAACCCTAGCTTCGCTTTGCAATTGGTTTGCCCGACCAAATTATGAGAATTCTTCAATTGGTTTTTTTTTTTTTTGGTGAATTGGTTTATGTTAGATGATTGGGTCAATTTTCTGAGTTTTGAGCTAATTATGTAGGTATTTGAAGAGTAAATTGAGAGCTGAATTTTTGGGTTTAATAAAGTTTATTAATTTAATTTTATGAAAACTGGGCATGCAGATGAACTATAATATTAGTTGGGTTGATGGTATTGAGAGTAGTTGGGTTCACTTTCTTCTTTCTGTTTACACTCTGAGTCAATCTTTAAGTAGTAGTCAGGATACCATGATTATATTTTATGAGCTAAATTAGTTGTTTCTGGCCATTCGTTGAATTATTAAGTACACATCTGCAGCTGTGGCTAGACCCAGATTAGATGGAAATCTTGTTTAACAATGATCTATTTATCTGTATATTTCGAGCCTTGACACAATGGTAAGGTTGCTCCATTGTGATCTGGTGGTCACACATTCGAAATGCGAAAGAACCTTCCGAAATCGGGGTAAGGGTTTGTACATCCAATAGTCCTCGGACTCTGCTCTGGAGGGAGGCAAAGTCTCGTTCACTGAACCACCTTTAGAAAAGAAAATTATTTATCTATTTATGTATGTATGCCCTGTTACTTCATAGTTCAAAATAGGAAAAGGCCCAATACCAACCATTTTATCTAAATTATGCTGGAAAATGGAACCTGTTACCAAGGAAATTAGTAGCTCATACTTGAAAGCGATATTGCGAGCACCATCATGTTACTTTGATTGTATCCTTAATTCTTTCATTTTGCTGATATGGTTCTGCAATATCAGTTCCCCTCTCCTGATTGTCCCTTCTGTTTTGCGCGGTTCTCAAATATATGCAGTTATACTATGATCTTATTAGTGAGGTTTTGGGCTTCTTTGTGGCATCGTTTAGCAGCTAATTTTAGAGATATTCCTTTCTTCGTACTAAATTCGGATTGTGTTGCTGCAGTTAGTTGAATTTTGGTAGCTTGATGTTGGTAGATAGCGGCTTCTTGTAATTTACTGTTTTGGAGATATTTTGGTTTAGCTTTGTCTAGACGGTCAAACTCTTTCACACAGGTGGACTTTTTTTTTTAAACTAATAGACTTTCGACTCTTTATGTAATGAACCCTACAACTAACAAATCCCCATACATGGGGAAATAAGGAGGTTTACCCCCATCTAAAGAGTGTTATTTATTTAACGAACCCACAACTAACAAACCTTGATTGCATTAGGAAATAAGGGCTCTAAAGATTGTAAGATGATTTCTGATAACTAGACAATATTACAGAGTTTTTCAAGCTATACCTAAAATAAAAGATCCATGCGTGTTTTAAACTCTTCTTAATTTGAAGTTTTAAGATGCATTTTCTTTGGAAGACAACTATGTGATGTTGTACTTTCCAAGGTATTTAGACAGCTTATATGCGGTGGGCTCTCCTAAATCTTATCTTCTATATATAGAGAGATTTTAAACTATGTTTTGTGGGGATGGAGATGGATGCGAGGAATAGTTTCAAATTGACCAATGAATATCCTTAGGTGGATTTAGTTTGGGTTTTAATCTCTAGTAGAAGTGATAGTTTCATTTTTGTCCCCAAGCAGTTAAATTTGAATACAGTGTATAATTGTAAAAGTCTATGTTTACACTTCTCCTCGTCCTTTCCATCCCTTTTACCAAACAAGAGGAAGTAAAAATCTCCTTCTCTGTCTTTATCCTTCCTTTATGAATTACCATCTGCTTGCTCTTGCAACCTTCCTTCCAAACATAGTATCAGTGAAATTGTTGGTATTGTTTAAAAAACATTATAGAATAAGAATGTTTAGTATCATTGGAAGTTTCTGCTTCTTAAGCTAATTTTCATGTAGTTGTTTTGCAATTTTTAATGTAAATGCTTTAAAAAGGCACCTAATTTAAGTTTAGAATTTTGATACATTATCCTTCGTTTGTCTAATTGAAGGCACCAGCAGCTTACCCTTATCCAGACCCTTACTACAGAAGCATCTTTGCTCCCTATGACACACAACCATATCCTCCACAGCCCTATGGGGGGCAACCAACGGTATTTCTTCCGCCTTCTTTTAGATATAATTTCTTGGTAATGGTACTTGTAATATTGAGCATTGAGACCGGAAGTTTCCACTTTATTATTGTCAATTCCACTGTTGTGTCATCAAGTTTGTGACTTCTTAGGTGCCATATATATACATATTTATATCATGTGTATATGTAGTTGCAGACCTGTATATGTTTGTGATCTCATATATCATGTTTGTTTGTCAATATTTAGAATGTGTTGAAGCTTATATGTGGTACCATTTACTCAGTTCATCAAGTAATTTACAATTATTTTGATTTTAATGTTTTCTGAAGTAGGCACTTTATTAAAGATGAGATGCTTGTTTTGTTAACGTGGGTAACTCTGTAGTGAAGAAATGTGCAAGTGCATGCTCCCAAAGAAATTGTGCGTATGGTTGCAAGGAAAGTAGATTCAACCTTCAAGACATGCATCCAAAAAACATAAGGGTGGAATTGAGATGAATTAGGGACCAACACATGTAAAGAAATTGGTGGAATCAGAGGACTAAATTACAGATATCATCCTGTTATGATCCCTTATCAGCATAATGGGTAATAATTATGAACATTCAGTGCAAAATTGGAACTGAAAATATATGCATAGAGGGGTGTGCTATGTGAACGGTAAGTTGTATGGGGGATACTTAGATGAAACTTTAACTGGTGTAGGTGCATCTAGTGTTACATAGCATTGGTGTTAGTAATTATGGTGGCTAATATCAGAAGTTTCCCCAGGTGGATGATTAAGTAATTAAGAGTTAGTAGTGGTGGAGGGCATCACTTTTGTTAGTGTTGAGTTGTGTAACCTGCATTTTGAGAGTGACAGGAACTGCCGCTGGTGATGAAGCTGAATAAGTTGGTTGTGATGGTTCTGGCTAGAGACAATGTATTTCCTTATAGCAGGTGTTCTTAGTGATGGCTACAAGAGATCCTTAATACACGTCTAACTAGTGATGGTGGTAGTAGCACTACTTAGGCCTGTATCAGAAAAGGGCATTCATGTGTGGCTTCTTCTTTTTTTTGGGGTGGGTGGGGGAAGGGAGACGATACCACCATCTAAAGATTGTTATTTATGTAATGAACCCTACAACTAACAAATCCCCATACATGGGGAAATAAGGAGGTTTACCCCCATCTAAAGAGTGTTATTTATTTAACGAACCCACAACTAACAAACCTTGATTGCATTAGGAAATAAGGGCTCTAAAGATTGTAAGATGATTTCTGATAACTAGACAATATTACAGAGTTTTTCCAGCTATACCTAAAATAAAAGATCCATGCGTGTTTTATACTCTTCTTAATTTGAAGTTTTAAAATAAAAGATCCATGCGTGTTGTACTTTCCAAGGTATTTAGACAGCTTATATGTGGTGGGCTCTCCTAAATCTTATCTTCTATATATAGAGAGATTTTAAACTATGTTTTGTGGGGATGGAGATGGATGCGAGGAATAGTTTCAAATTGACCCATGAATATCCTTAGGTGGATTTAGTTTGGGTTTTAATCTCTAGTAGAAGTGATAGTTTCATTTTTGTCCCCAAGCAGTTAAATTTGAATACAGTGTATAATTGTAAAAGTCTATGTTTACACTTCTCCTCGTCCTTTCCATCCCTTTTACCAAACAAGAGGAAGTAAAAATCTCCTTCTCTGTCTTTATCCTTCCTTTATGAATTACCATCTGCTTGCTCTTGCAACCTTCCTTCCAAACATAGTATCAGTGAAATTGTTGGTATTGTTTAAAAAACATTATAGAATAAGAATGTTTAGTATCATTGGAAGTTTCTGCTTCTTAAGCTAATTTTCATGTAGTTGTTTTGCAATTTTTAATGTAAATGCTTTAAAAAGGCACCTAATTTAAGTTTAGAATTTTGATACATTATCCTTCGTTTGTCTAATTGAAGGCACCAGCAGCTTACCCTTATCCAGACCCTTACTACAGAAGCATCTTTGCTCCCTATGACACACAACCATATCCTCCACAGCCCTATGGGGGGCAACCAACGGTATTTCTTCCGCCTTCTTTTAGATATAATTTCTTGGTAATGGTACTTGTAATATTGAGCATTGAGACCGCATATTGCTTATAAGCATGAAATTTGTGGTTATTACTTCAGGTCCATCTTCAGTTAATGGGAATCCAGCAAGCAGGAGTTCCATTGCCATCAGATGCAGTTGAGGAACCGGTGTTTGTAAATGCAAAACAATATCATGGCATCTTGCGACGTCGGCAGTCTCGTGCTAAAGCAGAATCGGAAAATAAAGCTCTTAAGTCTCGAAAGGTAATATTATGGACTGCAAATCCTTGCATCTCATGTTCAATGAGATGCTGCTATAGGTTTCATTTATTCATTGTCACTTCAAACTACTCTTGCAGCCATACTTGCATGAATCTCGACACCAGCATGCACTGAGAAGAGCTAGAGGATGTGGGGGTCGATTTCTTAATGCAAAGAAAAATGACAACCAGCAGGATGAAATGTCATCAGGCGACAAATCCCAGCCAAATATCAATTTAAACTCTGATAAAAGTGAGCTTGCTTCCTCAGATGGAACATCCTGATTACTCGGAAGCAATTGCAAAGCGCTCAAGGGGCCACATGAAGTATCTATCCTTCAACAACTGCCAGGGAATGGAGGTCCCCAATACCAGCCTTGCTAGTTTCGGTAGTGCTTCACTGTGACTCGAAGCTCATTAGCAATAGCATGTATAGGTTCTTCAGTAGTAGGCTTGTAGGGGGGCTGCAAAAGACAAAGTAGGCAGTCTTATTGAAGCGCAGTGATATAACCGTCTCCCAAATGGGTTTCATTTCAACCCTTTGCTTTTTTTTTTCCCAGGAGAGTGATGGTTAAGTTTGCTGTGTGGTTTAAGTTTGCACTTATACCTGTTGTGAGGTTGGAAACTTGTCTGACAAAGTTTAGAGCTCGTGTTGTTTGGTTTGGTAATGTTTCAATAGATTGGCAAAAGATTAGGTTGGCTGCTGTTTATGTAGTAGTAGTTTTATTCGTTTGTTATCAACTGAGACAATAAGTTTAATGGTTAATGAAATTGGGTAATTATCAACCAGCAGTTTCTTTGTTTTTGTTTTTATGTTTTTATGTTTTTGGGGTAATTATCAATATAGTGAATTTATTTTTATTAGCTTGGGGGAAATTGGAAAAGTCGATAATATATATATATAATAAATAAAAGAGATGAAAAAGTTGTTTTCACATTTGAGCAAGCCAAGTGCTAGGTCATTCAAAGTTCAAACAAACAAGATGATTTGTGGCAATTATCTCTTCATCAAAGGAAAGACACCTTCTTCTCTACATTCAACGCATCACTATTGCCTTGTTTTGTTCCAGAAAATCTGATTCCCAATGTTTTCCACCATGAAATCATTTCGATTGTTGTCTTTCTAACGTTGTTTGGACTGGATTTGTCTTTTTTGGACCGCATCATTTTTTCACCTCATTATAAAAAAGTTTTAGTTTTGGGTTGTTGGGTATGGACAACTAGTAAATATTGTTTTTATTGAAAATGGACAACTAGTAAATAGGATTAATAGTCTTCTACCCCTAAAAAAAACGTAAATAGGATTAATGGAATTTGGGTTGTTTTTGCTGATTTTTTAAACTTTTTTTTAAATAACTAATTGCATTGATATTGTTTTTAACTTAACCACTTTATTTGCACAAATGTTAATTTTTTTTTTCTAAAATTCTTGATGCTTTTTAGGAAAATATCTAATTTAATATATATAGTCACTTGTCTTTTTTATTTTTTGGATCAACTAGAAACTTCATTAGATAAACTTTAACGGTACAATCAAAGACATCAACAAGACATCTAAAATACCAATCTCAAGAGGGCAACAAACTAACATGTTAAAAGCAAAACTAACACGAACAAAAACCGCACTAAAACTACTAGATTAATGGAATTTGGGTTGTTTTTGCTGATTTTTTTAACTTTTTTTTAAATAACTAATTGCACTTATATTGTTTTTAACTTAACCACTTTATTTGCACAAATGTTAATATTTTTTTTTCTAAAATTCTTGATGCTTTTTAGGAAAATATCTAATTTAATATATATAGTCACTTGTCTTTTTTATTTTTTGGATCAACTAGAAACTTCATTAGATAAACTTTAACGTTACAATCAAAGACATCAACAAGACATCTAAAATACCAATCTCAAGAGGGCAACAAACTAACATGTTAAAAGCAAAACTAACACGAACAAAAACCGCACTAAAACTACTAGCCCACATCACCACAATTAACCATAAGTCCAAACAAAACCCATAAACCCAACATAACCAAAACCCTAAAACAACTCATGAGCCTGGCGAACCCTATAACCACCACTTGAAGAAGTGTTGTCGCGGTCACACCCACCACCGCATCCGTAACAGATCTGAGAAAAATATAATTTTTAGCAGGCTATCTACGCATAAGAGTGAACAAATAAATGAAAACCTTGCCAAAGAACAATTTAGTGATTTGCAGCAAGCTCCGTCAAAGACGATGTAGAATCAAATTTAGAGAACATGATTTAGAACAATGACTAAAAGGGGTGATGGGGAACATCAATCTAACCATGGCTTAAAAGAAACCACCACAAAGGGTTTTTTATTCAAACCACCACTTGAAGAAGCGTTGTCGCAGTCACACCCACCACCGCATCCGTAACAGATCTGAGAAAAATATAATTTTTAGCAGGCTATCTACGCATAAGAGTGAACAAATAAACGAAAACCTTGCCAAAGAAAAATTTGGTGATTTGCAGCAAGCTCCGTCAAAGACGATGTAGAATCAAATTTAGAGAACATGATTTAGAACAATGACTAAAAGGGGTGATGGGGAACATCAATCTAACCATGGCTTAAAAGAAACCACCACAAAGGGTTTTTTATTCAAAATGCCCAGTGGACTTATTCACTAACCTAAAAGGAAAAGACGAGAAGAGAAGACGGGGATGAGGGGCAGTGATGCTTCTTCCTCCTCCCCCTCTATGGAGTTTTCCTTTAAAACTCATAGAGGAAGAGAACGGCTAGAATTTCTTACGGTATATATAGTTTATACAAGTGTACTACTTTGCCCACAATGAGCAAGTATATATTTGACAAAAAAATAAAAAAGAAAAGGGAGCAAGTATATACAGTTTATCTATCTAGCACACATGTGGATTATGCATTTTTATGTAGTTATTGTTGTGAATTAGAATCAACTCACTGCCCTTTAGACCTTGTTGTTGATGGACTTTGGACAAGACTCAATGATGGATGAATCTTACACACACACACAGAAAATAAC